CACATCACCATCACCCTGCACCCGTGGGCCCAGCGCTGCGCTGGATCAGGCCCTGAGCCCCCACCAAGGGCCAGGGCTGTCCCCACCCTCTGTGCTCCCACCAAGGTCGGTGCCAGCAGTCCTGGGGCTCGGCACCCCTCACAATTAGGGACCCTGGGGGTCATGCACCCTCCCAGCAACACCCAGACCACACACGGGCCATCCCACGGCTTCAGCCCCACAGCACAGGTGGGACGTGACCCAGTACCGGTTTCAGCGCGGCCATACTTACCCTCTGCCCTTTCCCGGCTGTAACACAACCTCGTCAGGCCGTGGGCTCAGTTTGGCCATGGGATGCCCCATCCCAGCACCCCGTCGAGCCGGTTTGGGGTGACACACTGTGGCCAAGCAGGTCAGGTGCTGCAGGGTGGGGTGCGGGCAGGTAGGATGGCCAACCTCCCCCCCCAGGTGATGGTGGTGCAATGGGGTGCTGCAAGCCCCACCTTGGGGCACCCCCCAAAAAAACAGCCCGTGAGGAGCTGGGGGGAAGCTGCCTCCATCACTCAGTGCCCTGGTGACACTGGTCAACCCAAGCTGCTTTCTGGCTGCCAGGAGGCACCCCGGGCACAGGGATGTGGTCAGGGCAGGGGAGGAAGCCGGTAACGTCACCACGCGTCACACGGCACGGGGAAGCCCTCACCGCCCTCACCGCAGCAGGCTGCGGCGCAGCTTTTTTCCAGGTAGGCGATGGCCGTGATAGCAGAGGGCCCGAGCTCCCTGTTTTAGGGCCAAGCCGTGGAGCTGGGCACCAGCATGGCAGGGAGGGCAGAGCTGTTGTCTCCCTGGCCCCTGGCCCGGGGGATCTGTATGTCCCCACAGTACTGAGTTTTTCATCCTGTTGTTCTTCCCTCGCAGCCTGAAGTGCTCCTGTGCCTGGACCGCGGCAGCATGTCGACAGGTGAGTGCTCTGTCCCCCTTGCATCCGTCCCCCCTGCATCCATCTGTCCCTTCGGTCCCCCTGCATCCGTCCCCCTTACACACATCCCCTCCATCCTCCTTGTAGCCCTCCCATTTGTCCCTTGCACTCATCCCCTCCATCCCCTTTCCATCGCTCCCCTCCATCCCCCTTCCGTCCCTTCCCTATGTCCTCCCCTCACCTCCCTCCTGTCTGTCCGTCCCCGCTGTCCCTCCAGCCCCCCACGTACCCCGCGTCTCCTCAGTCCCCGCCAGCCACTTGGCACCGTCCCCAGCCCCAGGGATCGCTGGGTGCCGAAGGAGTTGAAATTTCAGCTGGCTGTAATCAGGAGATGGGAAAGTGGCCCCAGAGTGGCTCGGCTTTATTTTTAGCTCTGCCTCCCCCCACGGCATTGCACCCTGGCATTGCCCCGCACCACGGCTGGGCCACATCCTGCAGGTGCCAAGGGACCCTGCGCCTGGGTGCTCGGCAGGGGACAAGGTGGTTAGTGCCACATGCACGTCGGCCACCAGGTCCAGGGACTGATGCTGGGGTTCGGGGACTGCCAGGGGTTGCACCAGGTGCTCGAGGTGGCCATGCCAAGCCGATCCTGCCACAGCCCCCGTTAGCCCGCCGGGGCGACAAGCCAGCCACGGGGATGGATGTGGTCGGTCCTTGCCCGTGGTGGAGCCGTGGACAGTGACCATCTCCAGGACACCCCACATCAGTGGGATTCCAGCCTCCTGGCCAAGGTTCCATGTGGTCTTTGTGCTCAGCCACATCCAGCCCGGCCGTCCCAACCTGCTCAGGTGATGAGGACAGCACGTGGCTGCTTCCCACTTTGCTTTATCCTCCGGGGGTGGGGGCTGGGGTGGTTCCCCTGCATCCCTGGGGATGCCTGCCCTGGATCTTGCTCCCCTGGGAAGACCTTGGTCTTCAACATGCTTTCTGGCTTTTGATAATTATTTATTTTCCTTCTCTCCCCCAGAAAAACTCAAGCACCACAAAATCATCTTCGTGGTGGGTAAGTTGATGTCTGGGTCCTGCTGCTGGCGGGGTCAAGGCCACAGCGCAGCCCTGTCCCCCCTACGCCTCCAGGGTTGGGGGGGCTGTGGGGAGCCTCCAGGGCTGGGGAGCTGGGACTGGAGCCTGGGGCTGTGGGACCTTGGCTGTCCCCAGGCACTGTGGCGTGGCCGTGGCTCCCGCACCGGCCATCTGAGGCATTTTTTTTTTCCGTGCCAGCGCCTCGAGGCCGTGGTGGGGTGTGCTGGGACCAGGAGGGTGCCGCTGGCCGGGCATGGGGTGGCAGCATCTGGGGGGATGTGATAGTAAACATCGAGGGGGTGACGTTCTGGGTGCCAATGGGGTGGTGGTGTCCTGAGTGCTATTGGGCAGTGATGTCCTGGCTGCTGATGGGGTCATGATACCCTGGATGCTGTTGAGACAGTGACATCCAGGTGCTGGTGGGGTGGTGGTGGT